CCGCCTGCCTGTCTCTCCCCATCGCCTTCAAAAACCCACTCGCCCCGTCCCGCGGCCCGGGGCCGCCCAGCGCCGGGCACGGCCGGGCCGGCAGCCAGGCTCCGGGGCTGGGAAAGTCCCGGTGCCGCTGGGAGGTGCGAGCGGGAGCGCCCCGAACCCGAGCCCCGGGGGCCCACCGGCGCCAGCTCCCCGGCCGCCGCACGGCTCGGCTCGGCACCCTTCCAGCTGCACCCCGGCTCGGCGATGCAGCCTTAACCGGGAGTCACCCCAGGGCAGGAGCACCCCCCGTGTCACCCCTCGCCCCTCGGAGGGGCCGTACCTGGGTCTGGGTGAGCCCCAGCTGCGCCGCCAGCTCGGCACGCTCCGGCAGCGCCAGGTACTGGGTCTGCTGGAAGCGCTGGTTGAGGGCCTGCAGCTGGAGGCTGGAGTAGATGGTGCGGGGCTTGCGCAGCTTCTTCCCCTTGCCATTGACACGCAGGTCCCCGTTGGCGATGGACGGGGGCTTCTCATGATCTTTTGGGGGGTGGGAGAGGAGCAGGGAGTTAAACCAACGTGCTGGGGAGGTTAGAAAAAAAAAAACAACCCACACCAACCCCCAAACCCCAAACCATCCCACCCTGGCCCTGGGGGTTGCAGCGGGTTTTGCTTTTTGGAGGTTAGTTTTGGAGGGGAGGGGGAATAAGTAGAGGTGGGGGGGCAGCTTTTGCCGGGTTGGTTTGTGTAAGCCCCAGGTAAAGCAAAGGGGAAACAGGAGGAGGAAGGGAGGGATGGAGTTATTCATTCAATATCACTATTCAAGCCCAAAAGCAGGCAGGCCACAGGCCCATCTGTGGTGCAGCCATTGGGGGGGGCAGGCAGGGCCCCACGGGGTGGTGGTGGGGGCAGCAGGACAGATACCCCTGCCCTGGGGGCTCTTGCTGTGGGCACGTTGCTCCCCAGGGCTGCAGTGATCCCCCAGGCACCCTCTTGCTGTGGGGTCTGTGCCCCCCTCCCTGGACCACCTCCTCCCCACTCCATGCCTTTGAGCATCCCTGGGTCCATCCTGGGCCCCATGGCTCGTGGGGGGCAGAAACCCACTGGGGACACCCTCATTTCAGCAGCACGGGGCTGACGTGGGAGCGCAGGGCACGGCGGTGAGCGTGTCGGCACACCCACGTACACCCCACACACACTCTGCTCTGGCCACAGCCACGGCCTTCCAGAGCTGACGAGGGGCTGACAGGGCCTGGGGGCTCAGCTGGGCTCGGGACCCTGCCGTGGGGCAACCTGGAGGCTGCTTCTCTCCGGGGCAGCTCAGCTTGCAGTTTCCTGCATCAGCTTTTGGGGAAAACCGTGGGGAAATGGGGATGCGATGGGGCAGGGAGCTGAGATCAGAGCATGTTGGCAGAGGGGCAGAAGGGGGTGGTCTGCCCAGGGTGCAGGATGGGGCCAGCCGGAGGGGTCTCAGGGAGAAGGATGCAGGCACTCAGGGGTCTCAGGGGGCAGGATGCGGGCAGCCGGGAGTCCCAGAGTGTGGGATGTGGGGAGCCGGGGGTCCCAGGGTGCGGGATGCCGGCAATCAGGGCTCTGATGCTCCCCATTCCCGAGGTCTCCTGCAACCACGCAACCGCACACCCCCACGGGGCTCTGGGCACACTGGGAGCGGGGTGACATCGCCTCCGGCCCCCGTGGGTCCCCTCGGGGACCTCCCTGCCGGGTCAAGCCCTGCATCGCCGCTGCCGACGGGGCCGGCGCAGCCCCAACGCGCTTCCGACGGCTCCGTCCCGGCGCTTCCCGGTGAATCCCCGCCGCCCCCGGCTGGGTGGGTGCCCGGAGGGGGGGTGGGTGTGCAGCGCCGAGCACTCCGCGCCCACCTTACCTGCGTCCTGCAGCCTGGAGCCGTGGGCCAGCCCCGCCGGGGGATGCTGGGCGGCGGGGGGCGGGTAGGGCAGGTAGGGACCCCCGTGGGGCGGCGGGGGGGCACCGCCGGTGTAGGTGTAGGGCCCTGGCCGGCCGTAGGAGGCGAAGGGCGGTGGGTCGTGCTGGGGGTGGCCGGAGGGGTGGAGGCCGTGCAGCGGGTAGTGCGGCGGAGAAGGGTGCCCGAGCTCCAGGAAAGCGGCTTTGGAGGGATCGGGCCCCAGCAGGCTCTCGGCTACGGAGCTCATGGTCATGGTGGGTCGGGCCGGGCCGGGGCGGGCAGCCCCCGGAGCCCGCAGTGCCGCGCCGAGCCCCCGCCGCCCCCCGACGGGCTC